GGGCCACGAGCAGTACTTTCTGTTGGTTGTCGACGACAACCCGCGTTACACCACGGTCTTCCCCTTGCGCCGCAAGGGGGAGGTCCCTAATTTTTTGATCCCCTGGATCAGCGCTGTTCGTCTCCAGCTCCGCGAGCGGTTCGAGACGGACCTTCCTGTCCTGCGTCTGCACTCTGACAGAGGTGGTGAGTTTTCCTCCGACCTCTTGCGGGGCTTTTGTCGTGGGGAGGGCATTCGCCAGTCGTTCACGCTTCCGGCCTCTCCGGAGCAGAATGGGGTTGCTGAGCGCCGCATTGGCTTAGTCATGGAGGTCGCTCATACCTCCATGATCCATGCGGCTGCCCCCCATTTTCTGTGGCCATTTGCAGTCCAGTACGCTACGCATCAGCTCAACCTCTGGCCCCGTGTCTCCTTGCCGGAGACCTCGCCCACACTGCGGTGGACGGGGGAGGTTGGCGATGCGTCGGTGTTCCGGGTCTGGGAATGTCGTGCTTTTGTCCGCGATACCTCCGCGGACAAACTCTCCTCCCGCGCCTGGGCGTGGCCTGGGCGTGCTGGGCGTGAGTGTGCGGAGCCTGGGGGTGCTGAGCCTGGGGTTGCTGAGTCTGAGGGTGCGGAGCCTGGGGGTACTGAGCCTGCGGGTGCGGAGCCTGGGGGTGCTGAGCCTGAGCGTGCGGAGCCTGGAGGTGCTGAGCCTAGGGGTGCAGAGCCCGAGTGTGCTGAGCCTGGAGGTCCTTCGGGTGTCTTGTCACGGCGGGAGTCTCTCTCTCCACTGCAGCTGCGCGAGTGGTTTGCTCGGCGCTGGAGCCTCCGGAGTGGTGCTGCTAGAGCTGGAGCTGCTGGAGGTGCTGGAGCCACTAGTCCCGGAGGTGCTCGTACTGGAGGTACTGGAGCTGCTGGAGCTGGAGGTGCTGCTGGAGCTGGAGCTGCTGGTGACGTAGGTGTTCGTACTGGAGGTACTGAAGGTGCTGCTGGAGCTGGAGCTGCTGGAGGTGCTGGAGCCGCTGTTCACGGAGGTGCTCGTACTGGAGGTACTGGAGCTGCTGGAGCTGTGGGTGCTGCTGGAGCTGGAGCTCCTGGAGGTGCTGGAGCTGCTGGAGCTGGAGCTGCTGGAGGCGTTGGAGCTGCTGGAGGCCCTAGAGCTGGAGGTGCTGGCCCTTGGGATGCTGGTGATGTCGGAGCTGGTTCTGGAGGCGCTGTGCGGCCGCGACCGTACTTCGTTCCACTGCTTCAGCAGGTTCTTGGTCTCCCGCCTTCTACTGACCTTACTCCTCACTTACTGTGTCCACCGCCTGACCGCTCACAGCCACAGCTACTTCCAGCCTCTCCACTGCCGGCTCCTTCTCCTTACACTGAGCAGCCTGGCGGTCTTACAGAGCGTCGTGAGCCTGCGTCTCATCCTGCGTCGCCTCTTCGCGCTGTTCACACTGGTCGTCGTGTTCCGCGTCAGCGTCCTCCTCCTGTCCCCAGCACACACTGGATGGCACTTTGTCCTTCCTCTGTTCCACTGCATGTCGCTCTGCCGTCACCTCCTGCGTCCTCTCTTGCTGACGGACCGGACCCTGAGTCTGACTCACTTCGTGCTGATAGTCCTACTGTCACACGTCTTCTGGCCACTGTTGTCACTGACCCTTCCTTTGAGTCCACTGCTGCGTCTGCCCTAGTTGCTGAGCTTGTTGACTTTGCTGCTGCCTGTTGTCTCGACTACGCGGCTAGTCTTGTTGCTGAGTCTGAGTCTGTCTGTCCTCCGTCCGTCGGGGTTGAGTGTGCTCTTGGCACGGACGTCCTTGAGGACAGGCAGGAGGACTTTGAGTGCTTTGCAGCTGCTGTGCCTCATATCGAGTCGATGCAGATTGCACCTGAGGGAGACCCGGATGCACCAGACATCCCGACTCTGCGCTCTTACGCTGAGGCGATAGAGGGTCCCTACTCCTCTCAGTGGCAGACAGCCATGGACGCAGAGATGGCATCCTGGAAGTCCACAGGCGCTTACGTCGACGAGGTTCCCCTACCTGCGGCGAACATCGTCAGTGGCATGTGGATTTTCAGGGTGAAGCGGCCGTCGGGTTCTCCGCCTGTCTTCAAGGCGCGTTATATTGCACGAGGCTTCAGTCAGCGTCCACGAAGATGACCACTCTTCGAGTACTGCTGCACGTCGCCGCTCAGCGTGATTACGAGCTTCACTCTCTTGACTTCAGCACTGCTTTCTACAGGGCAGCCTGCACGAGGAGATCTGGCTGCGCCGCCCACCTGGCTTCACTGGGTCGTTTCCTGCAGGTACCCAGTGGAGCCTCCGGCGGCCTGTCTATTGTCTCCGCCAGGCGCCTTGCGAGTGGCACGACACACTGAGGACGACACTTGCGGCTCTTGCGACTGCTGACCCGTCGCTGTTTCTGTGCACCGATAATTCGTTGTCGCCGTTCTACATCGTCGTGTACGTCGACGACTTGGTTTTGCCACTGCTGACACTGCTGGACTCGCCCACGTGAAGTCGGAGCTGCAGAAGAGACACACGTGCACAGACCTGGGTGAGCTGTGCAGCTATCTTGGCTTGCAGATCACCCGGGACAGAGCACGGCGCACCATTACCTTGACTCAGTCACACCTGGTGCAGCAGGTCCTTCAGCGCTTCGACTTCCAGTACTCCTCGCCACAGTCCACTCCTCTGCATACCGGTCACTCGCTCCAAGCTCTGCCTTCGAATGAGCCGAGTGGCCCGTATCCAGAGCTTGTGGGCTGCCTCATGTACCTGATGACATGCACTCGACCTGACCTTGCTTTCCCTCTTAGCATCCTGGCACGCTACGTTGCGCCCGGGAGACACCGACCAGATCACTGGAAGGCCGCTAAGAGGGTGATGCGCTATTTGTGCAGTATGTCGGGCATGAGGCTCGTGCTTGGAGGAAAGGCTCCTGTTGTCCTCACTGGTCACGCAGACGCTTCTTGGGTTGACGACTTGGCTACGCAGCGGTCGTCACAGGGTTACACCTTCAGCCTTGGCTCCAACTTTGTTTCGTGGCGGTCTACCCGCTTGTCTTCTATTCTCAGCTCCAGTTGTGAGGCTGAGATCTACGCAGGGGCCATGGCTGCACAGGAGTTACACTGGCTCACCTACCTGCTGATCGACTTGGGAGAGCCGCCTCATTCTCCTCCAGTTCTGTACGTCGACAACAAGGCCATGATTGCCTCGTGTCAGGAGCACAGACTGTAGCACAGAACAAAGCACATCGCTCTGCGCTACTTCCTTGCTCGAGAGTTGCAGCAGCGTTGTCAAATTCATCTTGTTTACGTGGCCTCTCAGGCCAACACTGCTGATATCTTCACCAAGGCACTTCAGCCTTGTGATCATCAGCGTTTCTGTACTGTTCTAGGCCTTGTGCCTACTTTGCCTCACTTGCTCACTTCTTGACTTTGCCTGTACTGTGATCTATATACTTATACCTGCATGCTTGCACTTGCTAGGTTGTGATCGCTGTACTGCTTGTTCTCCTTTATATGTATAACTCTGCATGTGAACTGGCCTTGTGGCCACTTGCTTGTGCCCAGACTGCGTGGTGACTTCGTGATCCACACTGAGCTTGCTTTGTTTTGTCGTATCTCGTGACTGGTCTTGTGACCGTTGCTTTCTCTGGCTATCCCCCATTTCCTCTATGAGGGTGTGTCAAAACATATATGCTTATGTCGTCTAGGCTATATGGGTGTTAGCACTAGGGGGTACAAACATTCACTCGATGTTGTTCTTGTACCCCTCCCCTTGACCTAATCAAGACACTATTATTCTCGACAGGTACATCGTCGTCGGTGCCCACAGTCGAATTGTCCCACGCGCAGTCTTCGGGCTGTCCCCAATGTGGTGCCGGCGATGGAGCTTCGACGTACACATCGGCGGGCTTGTTGGACTCCGGTTCAGACAGCCACTCGTCGAAGGTCGCTGGCAGAAGGAGTTGGAACACGGGTCGTTTTTCCGTGTAAGCAGTACTCGTACAGGTAACAGGAGCAGGCGGATTCGGAAGAGCAGGAGGAGCGGGAGGAGCAGGAGGAGCAGGTGGAAACAGGAGGAGCAGGGGGTGCAGGCGGCGCTGGAGGCGCTGGTGGGTCAGGAGGCCTAGGAGGCTCACGAGTATGCCACCCGTCCTCTGTTAATCGCCACGCGCGCTTCGGTTTCTTCTTAAAAAAAGACAGTGGGTCTCGGTGAATGAAAAACAAAAAAGTGGGGATGCCGAAATGGGAAACGGAAACCCCCGCCTGAACACGCAGAGAACCCTGCGTGGCAGCTGTCAGGGAATCTTCCGCACCCTTCGCTAGGGTTCGAATGAAATTCACATGCCACGCAGCGCATGGCGATGTGATTGGGCCGCTGGGCAAGATTCGCGTTATCGCTGGCAGGTGCGATGCTTCTAAACGTAAGTGTGGGGTGGTAGACTGCGGCGTGTTGTTGTTTCTGCTTGGAATTCATGCACGACCCCACGTGATGCATGGTCGGCTCGGCTGCATCCCCCTGACTGTGAACTTCAATTTTGTATAGTTTAAATCGTTTTCATTTTCTACATATTACAAGCGCATGCGCTTATGCCCGTGGCTCAATGATAAGCGCACCCCCCTAAATATCGATGTTTTATTATAAGCACGCCTGCGCTTATTCCCCGAGTGATACGGTACGACTAGACATCTATCAAGGGGGGCTTTACATGTTTTTTGGCTCAAAGGAGGGGTACAATAGAAACCTGCCAAAATAATCACTTGCCCTAAGTCACCCAGGCGTTTTGCCTTTTGGGGGGTACGTTATCCGGGGAAGTACGGTACAGTAAATGCGTCATGAAGCGGAATAACATATTCTAGCTGGGGGCTTTGTTTTTTTTTTTTTTTTCTTATATTTTCGTTGTAACACAGTGGAGTGGTCAACAAAACCGCATACGGTATAATAATTGAATTCTAACGGTACTTTATCTGTAAACCTATGACGACTCCACTGCACACTCCTCGTAGAGTCGTGTCACAATCTAGTGGGTTCTGCAGCCCTTCACGAGCAACGTTGAGAGCACCTGCAGCAGCACTCTCTCGTTCAGTGGCTTCTGTACGGCACCATCCATGCCAGCCTCTGTGGCATGGGCGGCAACAGTGCTGTCCACATCTGCTGACATGGCCACAACATGTACGCGCTCGTGCCACTGCCAGCCCCGCTTCCCATCCTCTGCCCCAGTATCTCCCACTACTGGCATGCGTTGCACCCCCTGCTCTACCTGATCTTCCCGAGCCATCTGAGCGGCGGCCTCGAGGGCACGCAGGCGGGCGGTGGTTTGGAAGCCGTCGAGGGTGGGCATGTGCAGGTCCATGAGCACGAGGCGGAAGGAGTGGCGTGCCTGCAGCAGGCGCAGCGCCGCCTCGCCCGACTCTGCCAGCGCCACCTCCGCCCCGTACCGCGCCAGCGTGCTCGCTGCCACCCGCCGGTTGATGGCGTTGTCGTCCACCACCTGGCGGATAGAGGGGCATGCAGGCAGGGTGCAGAGGGTATGCGAACAGGGGTACGGTTGACAGCGTTATCGTCCACCAGCTGGTGCGTGCAGGGAGTTACAAGTGGGATGAGGAGGGGATGAGAACGGAGAAACAGTTGACGGCATTGACGTCCACCACCTGGCCAGCACAGGGGGTACAGGGCAGCAAGGTACGGGGGAAGGAGATGGGAAGAAGGGGGAAAGGGAGGGAGGGGGGATGAAAACGGATGGATGGAGATGGAATGCGGTTACCACATTGTCGTTCCCCACTTGAGTGAACGCAGCGAGGGAGAACGAGGGGGGATACAGGGGCGATGGAGAGAGCGTGTGGGAACAACGTATGATGCGCAGCACCGTGTGTTGCAGCACGGTGTGGTGCAGCACGGTGTGGTGCAGCACGGTGTGGTGCAACACGGTGTGGTGCGGCACGGTGTGGTGCGCCACGGTGTGGTGCAGCAGGGTGTGGTGCAACACGGTGTGGTGCAACACGGTGTGGTGCAGCAGGGTGTGGAGCAGAGCATGGATGAACGAGATGCACAGATGGAGAGGATATGCATGTGGTGACAAATTGCCGTGCATGCAAGAATGGTGGGGAAAGGGAAGAGGATGGAAGGGTGGTGGAAAAAAAAAACGAGTTTCTTGCATGCACATCTAACTGACCTTTCTTACATGGCCGTTTGTAGCAGCTCACCAGGATTGCGACGCCATGCAGCATCTCCTTGAGAGCCTCCTTGGCACTCGGCCCTGCGCCGCTCACCCACTTACCTCCCACCCCATCAGCCTGCACCTCCCCCGCTCCCCGCACTGCTACCACCCGTGTGAGCCTTGTGAGACCACCAGCCTCCACACCTGCAACCTGCACCTCTCTCCCACTCTCTCTCCGCAATGCTCCTTCGCTTCTCCTCCGTCCTGCCACCTGCTTGCACCCGTCCATCGCCCTGCTGGTGCTGCAGGCTGTGAAGGCAGCAGCAGTGGCAGCACTGTCAACTCGTGTGCTCGTGCTAGCAGCACGGGCAGCAGCAGCAGCAGCGGCGGCGGGCAGAGCAGCGATGGGGAGTGCGACGTGCAGGGTGGTGCCGTGGCCCTGTGTGCTGAGCAGACCCATGGTGCCGCCCATCAGAGATACCTGCAGGCAGTGAGATCAGAGATGGGTAGCGCAGTTGACACCACTGCCAACCGTGCTATTAAATGGTTACTTCCAACTTCTTGTACAGTGTACTCTCGGATTACGGCTCTCCCCCATAGTTTCCTTAGGGTCTGTTCGTCCTCCTTTTCCACCCACAACTCGCGACCCAATCTACCAATGTAAACCAGTGTAGCTGCAACGTTTATCTCTTGCAACACAATCCACCTGTACTCTGCTACTGCATGCAGATCAGGGTAAATGACATGAGATTGCTTTACAACAGCGCATGAACGCCAAGGCATGCACCAGAGGAGCAAGTAAGGCACGCACCAGCTGCTTGGATATGTGGAGACTCAAGCCACTACCACCGTGCGAATGCCTCTTGTGATGCGCCTGATGAGTGGGGGTGTGGGAGCAACACACACGCATGTCAGTGAGCCGAGCCTCGGGGTTCCCGCAGGAAAATCATCAAGTCGTGACAGAATGGTAGTCCAGTCCGTGGTCTAAAAGCACAAGATACACGCGGCACAGCCGCAGCAGCAAGTGGTGCATACGGACATTCCTGGTGACATACTCGCTAAACTAAGGCTGCACCCCGCCTAAATGCCCCAACACACGTACTCACGCTCACCTGCATGAACGCCTGAAACACGTCGCGCTGGTCCTCCTCTGCGATGCCACACCCCGTGTCCTCACATGTCAGCAGCAACACCTTCCTCCTTTCACAATTCCCCTCCGGCTCAGCCCTTCCAGTGAACCATGGCATGGCAGCCCTGCCCCACCACCGCTGCACTGCACCCACCCATGTGACCCTCCCGCCGCCCACTACTGCCGCCGTGCCTGCCTTGCAACCCGCCTCAGCAGCCGCCATGGCATCCGCACCTGCACCGTCCCTGCTGTTCTCTTCCTCCGGAAATCCTAACGTGCACCATCCCTGCAACGCTGCACCTTTCCGCAGCCCCACCAGTGCCTCCAAGAGCCCACAACATTGCCTCACCCCCGCCCGTGTAAGCCGCCAATGCCCCATGTGCTGCCCAAAGCAAGGCACCACAACTGCACCCTCTGTGTGATCGCAAGGCGCAATCGCAGCACAGGTGGTGGCAGCAGCAGCAGTGGGAGCAGCATCGGCAGCAGTGGGAGCAGCATCGGCAGCAGTGGGAGCAGCATCGGCAGCACTGGGAGCAGCGGCAGGCGGGCAGCAGGGAGTCGCGTCAGCGAGGAGGCAGCCGAGGGAGAGCAGGTGGGAGGGGATGTGGGTGTCGGGGGGAAGGCACTGCAGCCGCACACACACGCCTCCACTGGCCGTGAACTTGATGGCGTTGTCTGGGGTGAGCAGCACGCAGAGGGACAAAAAAGATGCAAGATCCTTTGTCCCCGTGTGCACCGGCACAGCATGCATGGCATTGGAGTCAATGAACGGACTTGGCGTGAGCGTGCGTACCAACGATGCTGTCCAGCACTTGCTGCAGGCGCACGTAGTCTCCCTCCAGCACCTCCGGCACACCCGCATCCACATGCCACGTGACTGCACGTAAGGCACAGCAGGAGATAGATACAGGCACAAAACAGAAATTGGGCACATGAGATTGTAGGAAGTGGGACGGAGCAGGAACCGGAAATTAGGTGTGTGCGTTGACATTCATGCACGTGGGTGGATGTGCGTGCTCGTGGGCACCGGCACGTGATCATGTGCATTGTGCATGAATGCATGCATGTGTGTGGCTTACCCCACCAAGCGCCTCACACTCACAGTGCAGCCCGGCTTCAGCAGCTCTGGCGCCGTGCCTCTCCAGGGCGTTCAGCAGCCATGCACCTGGGTGGAAGGGCAGTCGCTCGAGGTGCAGGCAGCCCGCGTGCACCTTGGAGATGTCCAGCACCGTGTTCACCAGCACCACCACCCGCTCCGCCTCCTCCACCGCCGTGCACACGTCTTCCTTCATCTCGCGCTCCATCTGCCCCTCCACCAGTTGCTCCAACATGCCTGCAACAAGCAGCACACAGCAAGCACAGCAGGAACACCCACACGTGTTGCTTGATGCATGCAGGTGCCAGTGGAAACCCCTCAAACACGGCAACTTGAATAACGGAAGTTTCTTCACGCATATATTTAAGTTTCCCCACACACACCAAAATGTGTCATTTCAATTCAGCCAGCACAGTCAAGACGCGTGTCACAGTTTCCACAGCCAAGACGAGTCAAGAGTCGAGCCATGGTGAGCTCGACTCTTTGAATGCGAGTGTCGGGAGTTGGGCTTCGGGCGACATCGATCGACCTGGCTTGACTCAACACAAGTTGAGTCGGGCAGACCGGTCAGTAAGCTGGGTCAAACCTTTCTTAGGCTCAGCCGACCCTTGTCCAGACACTATATGTCAAGCCGCCGACACTCACGCCAAACCGACAAACTGGTCCGGTTCGTCACGACGGCAGCAACGCACGTTGCCTCGAGCCACCTCGGTCCACCATTGTCGGGCCGACCCCGGCCTGCCTTACGCCCTGACCAGGATGCCTGAACGTCCGCATTTGCGCATACCTTTCATCCCGATGATTGGGGTGCGCAGCTCGTGTGCTGTGCAAGCGATGAAGGCGCTCTTGTTGTGCTCCTTGCGCTGCGTGCGCTCCTTCATGCCCTCCACCACCGCCGTCTTCCTCCTCGCCTCCCGTGTGTTGTGTGCAACGCTCACAGCAACGCCCGCCAGCAGCGCCGCCACCACCACTATGACCGCCCCCAGCACGACCGCCACCCAGCTGCGCGCCTCGTCTGCCCCTGCAAAGCTGCGCGGGGGGATCACGGCGAGATGGAGAGAAATGCCATGGGGAGCAGAGAGCACAGCAAGGGAGGGGGTTTGGGGTACGAAATAACAAGAGATACAAGGAGAGAACAAGAGGGTAAGAGACGGAATCAATTTGTGCACGTAGGTACATACTAGTAATGCTGGTTAGGGGACGAGGGGAGAACGGACGCTAGGGGATGGAACAAAAGGATAACAAAACAGGAGAGAACAAGGAGGGGACGAGAGGAGAAGAGCGGGTATGAGACGAGAGGAACGGAGAGAAGTACCGGCACCAGGCTTGGAAGGAGCGAGAGGGGTCGGTGAGGTTGATGGGGTGCACGGCCTTGTGGCGGTGTGGCTGCAGCATGGCGTCCGTGGACGGCGGAATGACCTTGGACACCTGCTGGGGGTCGCCCTGCGGCAGCTCGCCCACGCCGTACAGCAGGCGCGGGCCTGACGGGGGCGATGCCAAGGTGTCCGTGACATCGTAGATCTCAAGCGTGTAGTTCACGCCTGGCACACGCATGGCCGTGCAAACGGCAGGGTAGAATTCATGCTTGTAATTTCGTGCACTCATCCATTTTAAAGAACAGCCGTCCAGTGGCACTGGTGGTCAGACCAGGCCAGCATCAATACTAAAGGAGCTTTACTCAAGGCTTCAATACTCCTCCCACCCACAGCGTGCGCGCTCACCCTGCAGCACGTCGAGGATGATGGCGCTGGCGAGGCGCTTGAGGTCCACCGACGCCGCCATGGCTCCGATGAACGCACGCTGCCGCTCCGCCAACGGCGATGCTGTCGACACGCCCGCTCGGAACAGCGGGAATGCCATGCCTGCATGGGTGGTGCACGAGGAGGCGAGATTCACAGCGCAGAGAGCGGTGGAGGGAAGGAGAGAAGCAGGTGGCGATGGAACCGCGAGGGACATGGCATGGCCTGGAAGAACATGAACATGCCCAGCCATGCACGGGCCTCAATACTTTATGCCATGAACAGGTGCTTTTAAGGACGCGCGGCGGGGCTCCACTGATCTTCCCCTGCCAGTCACAGCCCTCCCACTCCCACTCACATAATTCTGCTTCCCATAGCACCGCACCTTACACCACCAACCTTACACCACTGCTCTCCCCATTGCCCCGCCCTTCCATGCTGCTATTCTCTCCCCATTGCCCCACCCTCCCATGCTGCTGTCCCCGTTGCCCCACCCACCCATGGCAGTGCGAGGTAGCCAAGTGACCCACCGATGCCAGCGTTGCCATTGTCAAGCACATAGGGCGTGGTGAACCACCAGTCGGCGCGCTCCACCATGCCGCCCAGCTGCGGGCCGAACGAGGGGTTGGTGCGCGCGTCCTTGCAGGGCGTGCTGGCGAGCAGCGTGGCGAGGGGGATCTCGTTGTACCAGTAGCGCATCAGCATGTACCAGTCCGCTGGGGGGCGCGGCCGCCCCACCATGTCCACCACGCTGCACCGCATCTGCCGCTCGTACGCCGCCCTGCAGCACCGCACAGCACACAAGGGCGGCACACAAGGGCGGCACACACGGGCCACACACGGGCGGCACACACGGGCCACACACGGGCCACACATGAGCAGCACACACGAGCAGCACACACGGGCGGCACACACGAGCAGCACACACGGGCGGCACACACGAGCAGCACACACGAGCAGCACACACGGGCGGCACACACGAGCAGCACACACGAGCAGCACACAGCACACAAGGACGGCAGCATGTACAGATGACATGGATGGTTGGCTTCGGGTAGGGTTCAAGCTCACAGTTGACCAGCAGGATAAATTTAGAATGTGCGTGTGCAGGGAGGAACAGGGGCGAGTGTGCGCAAGAGAGGGGGATAGAGAGAGGAGTAAGAATCTCAAAGAAGGGAGGCTGGAAAATGGAGGAGGGAACAGGGCAGCACTAACCTGTCGGTGTGGTTGAGGGGGAGGAGGTAGATCATGGCATGCACCCAGGGCCGCGCGGCCACAGTGGCGTGCGCGTACTGCACAAACCTCTCGTGGCTCATGCACTTCCCCACGCCCCACGGGTTCTCCCGCACCCCTCCAAACACTGTTGCCAGCCCTGCCAGTGCCTGATGCGTGCATGCGGGAGCAGAGGTGCAGCACATAGATTATGGGGTGGGTGGCAGCTGATAGATGGACGACGGATATTCGGAGAGATTGGTGATGATGGGTGCGTAATTGATGGGTGGGGAGGGATTAGGTGGGGGAAAAAAGGGTGGGCGAAGACAAGTGGCGAGAAGATGAGTTGGGAGTGATGGGTGGGGGCCCAGTTGGATGGGCAGAGGGGTGGAGCGGCGGCCGTACTGAGTGGGTGTGGTGCAGTGCAGTGGCGTGTGCTTCCAGTATCATCCATGCAATAGGGTGGTTGGATCGTGCAGTGCAGCGATGTCATGTGTACGTTACGCAGTCCAGCTAGCTCTGTGATTGCATGAGCTGTGACTTGCATGTGCTGCGTGTGCCACAACTTGCTGCAGGATGATGTCGATTGATGCATGCAGCTATGCCCCACGAGCCAACCACGCACGTGCCACTTCTGACGGCACAATGGACGTCCTCGCACTGCCAAGTCCTTTTTCAGCACTACAAGCTCCTCGCACCGGACCCCGGTGAGTACCCTGATTCTGCCAGTATCTTCCGAATCCTTGATATGGTCGAATTATTTCCAGACATACACATTTTTGTGAGGCTGTACGCGCGGTCGCCTGTTCTGCTGTCACACCAATTCACGGAATTTCTGCTACCTACCAGCTGCGGCCGCTCGCTTGAATGCGAAACTTAAATCAACGGTTCCACAAGCGCTCGGCACCTAGTCGACGGGAACCATCTGCCCGGTTCTGAAATGCGAGAATTTAGTTTCTGATCCTGGGGTGGCGTCACCTCGGTTGATACCAGTCTGCATGTTTTGGCGCGTTTTATACCTGCACGTGGTCGGCGGTGAGCATGAACTGCTGCTGCAGCGAGCGCGCGCGACCGGCGCACCAGGTGTCGAGCTCCGCCTTGCGATTGTCGTCAAAGCCCTTCTGCACCCTCCACGTCACCAGCCCCGCCAGCACGCCCGCAAGCCCCATCCACACCGCCACCGCCGCTATCTCTCGAGAAACTTCATTATGATCGCACCCGGCCGCAGTAGTACTGGTATCTTTTGTTGGGCTACTACTATTGCCTGTACTACTAGTACCAGCTACCGCCGAGGACCACGGAGCGGCGCAATCATCGTTATCATCGATGCGCGCAAGCAAAAGCGAGCTTCACATATTGAAACGAAGCGGAGGCTTAGACGACGTATCATGCCGCTCGAGCAGACTGAGTGATTCATCGTATCACTCTCAGGAAGAATACATGGATAGCGCCGCACTGGTAATTGCCGTTCCGGACAAATGCCACCCATCACGGCCATAGGTCGCGCGAGGAACAGCATTAGCGCCGCACTGGACAACTGCTGTTTGAACCTCATGTTTCTGGGCCACAGCTGGCCGGGCAGTGGCACTCTAGAGGTAAACATTGTGAATTTCGCTACCCCTGATCTCAGCATTTGCCCCAAACTCAACCTCTCTTTTTCCTGAATCTTGAAACAAGCTGAAGTCGATACTTTTGAAAGAGGGAGGAAGTAGATGTGCAGATACGCTACTGATCGGATCGAATGTCTGGAACTGAGGCCATCTGAGGGCGGGTCACGTACGTTTAAACGCGATAAAGAAGGGTTAGCAACCACTAGTGGTTACTTCTTAGGAGTGCAATTTAGTCGGCTAACTAAGATTGCACTATTAAAGCTAAAGACTACATTCAGAGTCATCAGTAATTCCTTACTGAGTGTTACGAGTGCAATTGAGCGAGCGAGCGAGAATTGCACAATCGAAGCAAAACAGTACAAATGAGCGAAAGGAATGAGAGAGAACTAAGGGCGTGTTCCTACGACGTCATATCAGGAAACCTCGTATCAAGAATGTACTTTTTGCCTGGTAAAACTAGCGAGAGGTCTTGGGTTTAGGGGAATTTTCAGTGTGAGCCTGATACGAGGTTCTCTTGATACGAGGTGTAAGAAGACGCTCTAAATAGCGAAGACCACAACGGTAACGGTAACGAACTGTGGCTGACGCGCAACGGGCTTGTGACTGAGGTCGGGAAAGTGTCGAGGCGGAGGCCCGGAGCGCAGGCTACCAGCCGACTTGGGAGGCCGGGTTGCGATGTGCGAGGTGGCGGGAAGATTGTCGAAGCGAGGGTCGCGAGTGGTAACGGCGCTTACTGTGGTGCTACAGTGATGTACGCGCTAAGTAGGGATGCGGCGTAAGGAAATGGAAATTTCCTTACACTGACCCCCCCCCTAAGGAGGCCCTCGATACGAGAGTGCGTGTACGTCTTGGAAATTGCGGCTGCGCAGATAGTCGGTGAGGATGGGGTGGTTTTCAAACTTGTTCAGGGGAACCCAATTGTCTTCTGTTGGGGTGCGGTCTTTCCATCGAATCAAGAACTCGATCATGCGGGCTCCATGTGGGTCACGAACGCGATGTGATTACTGGCTCGATGGGTGGTCGTGTCATGCTGGCGGGTCGGTGGCGGGGCAGTTGGCTTGTGGATGGTACGTAAGGGCGGAGGAGGCTGACGTGGAAGGACGGGCTGACGTACCAGTCAGCGGGGGTGAGGAGGTGTGCGGTAATGGGGGTGATCATGTGGCTAATGCGAAATGGCCCGCAATATCGGGGGCGGAGTTTCGGGGTGATGGGGAGGCGGAGGTTTTGAGTGTCGAGTAAAACTAAGTCGTGTAGTCGAACGACGGTGGCGATGAAGAGCCGAGCTGTTTCTTCGGCTGAGATGGTTTTCTTGCATGCTGCGAAATCCGCCATCTTCGTCAACCGATCGACGACGACCAGGATATTGTCGTTTCCACTCGCCCTGGCCAGTAACCCCGTGACGAAGTCCATCGTCACCTGCTGCCAAGCATGCTCTGGTGGTGGTATCGGCTAGAACTGCCCTGCCGGCCACTTTCGTGATGATTTCATGAGCTGGCAAGTGGGACACGATGCCACGTGTCGCTGTACGTCGGTCAACATTTCGGGCCAGTAATAGTACCGCTGTAGCTGCTGCCGTGTTTTCTCTACCCTGGAATGACCCGAGGTAATGCCGCCGTGTGCCTCCTGTAATAACAGCTCCCTTAGTAGAGTATACCCCGGTACCCAGATGCGGTCGGTGCCTTCTTTTACGAAATAAACCCCTTTTGCCGATGCGAACTGCTGCGAATTGCATTCTTTGGAGAATGGGTCGGTTTGATACCCGTGGGTAAATAGTCATGTCAGTAGTGGGCTGGTCTGGGCGAGTAGTATGGCATGAAGTTGGGTAGTGGGGCGGGTCAGTGCGTTGGCGATGTTGGATGCTCCCTTTTTGTAAGTGACCGTGTAGCGAAAATTTGACTCGAGAATATCGAGCTAGCGAATCTGTCATGGGTTGATATTTGGCTGTGCACGGAGGTACTGTAGTGACTTCTGATCTGTCCGTACTGTCACGTCGGCTCCGATCAGGTAACATCGCCAGACTTTGAAAGCGTGCACGATCGCAAGCATTTCGCGGTCGTGTATCGGGTACTTCTTCTCGGGCGGGTGCAACTTCCGTGATTCGTACGCGATGTGTTGGAGGCCGTTGTCGAAATCATGTAACGGTACTGCTCCGATGGCGATGCCGCTTGCGTCCGTCGAAAGGGCGGTGGGGGTCGGCAATGCGCAGGACGAGTGGTGTACAGAGAACATTTTCCAGGGTAGAAAAGGCAGCATGCTCTTTCCCCCCCCATGTCAACTCTACCCCCTTTCGCAGTAGGTCAGTTAGCGGGGCAGTCAGCTACGCCATGTCGGGGACGAACCGACGGACGTAATTAACGAACCCAAAAAAACGTAATTGCGTGAGGTTCGTCGGGGGGCGCCACGCTTTTACCGTATCCAGCTTCTTTGGGTCAATTTCGACCCCAGCCTCCGAAATCACGTGCCCCAGAGATTCTAACCGGTCCTGAAAAAACTCACACTTTGATCTCTTAGTTAGTAGGCGATTCTCGTCTAAAATCTTAAACACTGCTTCTAAGTCTGTCAAGTGCTGCTGCTTATCCCGGCTGTAAACTAGGATGTCGGCGAGGTAAACTATCACGCACTTATCTAATATCGGTCTAAAAGCCTCGTTCATGGTCATCTGAAATGTCGCGGGGGCGTTGGTCAGTCCGAAAGGCATGACAGTATAGTCGAAAGATCCGTATCTAGTGCGAAAAGCTGGCTTGGCGCAGTCCGATGGTTCAACCCAAATTTGATGGTAACCCCCCAGTAAGTTAATCTTCGACAATACTCGGGCTGTTCGCAGTTGGTCTATTAGTTCGTCAGCGCGGGGAATTGGGTATCGCGATTTGATGGTTATTCGGTTCACTGCTCGGTAATCAATACACATGCGAAAGCCTACGTCTTTTTTCGGTGTGAACGATATCGGTGCGGCGAACGGTGACTAACTCGGTCGGATGAACTGCTTCTCTAACATGTAATCTAAATGCTTCCTGAGCTCGTCGAGCTCCGGCTGTGTCAGTCTAAACTGTCGCTGTACAGTTGGCTGTGCCCCTGGTTCTAACTCTATTTTGTGGTCGTGTGTGCGCTGAGGTGGCAGTCCTTCCGGTAAATCATCAGGGAAAAATTTCGGGTACCGTTTCAACAGTTCCTGTAGTTCGGGCGGTATAGCTGCTAGACGTTTCTGAAAATCACTCGGCGCCTCTGCTTCTCCCACTACTGCTAAACCACTACCCGTCGTCCAGTCAATTCGCGGGTTGTATCGTCGCAGCCAATCACGTCCGAGTAAAATGTCGTGCCCATCCAGTGTCGTCGCGAGCATTTCTTGTGTAAACCCGAAGTTCCCCGCCGCAACGGAATTTTACTCTCTCCACTTTCTCCCGTATGGCCAGAGGCGTGCCGTCGACTAAGCGTGCGTCTATCTCCGGTAAGCAGCGGCTAAGCGTCAATTGGAGTTTTTGAGCGGTGGCAGTATTAACTAAGCCGTGACTTGCTCCTCCGTCGATAACAATCTTGACGGCTGTCCCCTGTACAGTCCCGTAAAGCAGTACTGGGCAATCCGTCGCTGTACCCTCCTTATTCAGCCGAGCCCGATCGATAGCATGAATCAGTACTGTGACTCGGTGAGGGTCGGTGAGGTTGGCGAGCAGGTAATCTCGTCAGTAGTTGGCCCGTTTTCTACTGACTGCTGGCGTTTCCCTGCCTCTATGATTCCTACCCCTGCTCTGCTCCACGGCGCCTTAGCTCCTCTGGACACTCACTCTTGCGGTGGCCCGGCCTGTTGCAAGCAAAGCAGCGCCCCTTAAACGGCGCAGTAGCCGCATTCGTCGCAACGGCATGTACAGTGGAATGCTTGGTCGGTCCCCGAGGGCGATGTTCGTAGTAGGACCTTGGTCTCGGTCGGCGCAATAAATCGATTTTCTCGGCGAGCGCAAGATTCTCGTTGAAGTTCGAGAGTCCGCATAGCATGATTTCGTGCGAGATGTCCGGCTTCAGCCCACCGACGTAACGGTCCACCCGCTCTGCTTCGTGCACGTAGTCGACTTGTTTGCATAGTGCAAGAAAACCGCTCGTATAGTCTTGAACCGACCCGAGCTGACGCCAAGTGCGTAGTCTCTGACGCGCCGAGATTGAACCTGCGATAAGCTCAAAACGCACTCGAAGCCCTGCGCACCACGCATCCCACGTGCTGTAATGGGCGGTTTTCCAGAAGGAACGCCAGGTAACGGCCGGCCCCGTGGGCTCTTCCACTTGCGACGGCGGCTCATAGGCGTGCGGCGAGGTGACGATCACTCGCCACCAGTCCATGGCGGGGCCCTGTAGCAGCGAAACTGCATATCGAATCTTCGCTGCGTCTGCGACGACGTAATTCGCGCCGAAGAACACGTTCATCATGAAAATCCACGATTGAACCGTCGGGCTCCCGCGTTGTCTAGGATCGAAACATGGCGGTCATTGCGGCTTGAGCGGCATCGGCTCGTAAATGTCGTCGATGCTTGCTGGTGCCGCAAATTCGACGTGGCGACACGTTTTGCGCGGCA